GAGAGAGAGAGAGAAAATATTCACGCTGCAGTTCTAAATCCAACTCTAGATGACGCTCTCCTGATTAGGTCATGCCATTCACTAATAGGGAAGCAGGTAAAATTTGATTAGAGACAGCAAAAGCATCAAATAAGAACTGTATTAACTCCAATACTTTACCTTTCTAATTCTACTAATACAAATTAGAGGATTAACCAAGTTGTACCTTTGTGTGTATAGTGTGCACCCCCTATTCTAAAGAATGGATCATTCCAAAAAGGTCTCGTGAAACCAAAATGGCCGCCATCGCGTGTTTTTGGTGAGTTAGTCAGTTTCCTGGCCCTTTCTTACGCATATACTAAAACTACTGTGCATGAAAACGGTATTTTCAACCTGAATTAGACAATTTAAGGCTTATTTAATAAGTCTATAGAGTTGTAGAACGACAGGATTGCGGGAAACACAAGGGGAGGGGCGGTGAATGGGTGTGGGCTGGGCCGGGCAGGTAGAAATTCTGCCGCTCAAGGTTTATGATATATGCTGCGGAGTGCCCATACCTTAAGAATGCAAGATTTCTGTTTAAGGCAACCTGTTTGTAGCCAAAGGTTGCTTGGGCAACCCAACCTTGTCTGAAGCAGACCGAATGCCGTCATTTCAGGGTTGTGAGATCTATCTAATATTATGATAAGGTTTTTTCTTGGTTGGCAAAAGCAGCAAAATAGCTCTGTATAATTATGGAGGTAGAAATCAAGGGTAACTTAGCTCTAGGACAACCTAGACGTAAAACCAGGTTGCCTAGGGTGCAACTAATCTGAGAAATTCCAAATACATGTATACATGAACAACTAGACACCCCCCGGAAAAAAAGTAAAAATAGATCATATGAATATTAAAATACAACAGCATCATTAGTTTCTTTTTCAAACATCCTTGACACAGTCATACATTTTGGGACCTGTTCCAATTGCATTTATTAATCTCAAAAACTGTAAAAATAACACTGCAGCACTTCAATATGCAATATGAGGATGATGGGGGATTTATACATCTGACGTTTTCTACAAAATGAAATGTTTGATAACTAAGAACTTAGTAAGATATACTGTATGACAGGGATGATGATGTACTTAAGCAAAAGATAGGATTTCCCTTGTCTCATAGCAAAGGCTCAGTCACCTTTGAAATGATAAATTGTCTAGTCACAGTGCACAGTGCAACAGCTCAGTGTACGGCTTAGCAAGATCTGACTACCAGCTGTGGCCTGTCAAAAGTAATCCTGTAGCTTCCACTTCGGATATTAATTTTGTACCCATATCGTGTCACAATTACAATGAAGCCAAGCCAAGATATGGTGCTACTTCTTTGCTCTGTATTGTATTTAATATAATCATGCATGTAAAAAAGGATTGATTTTGCTGGAACATGTACTAAGTTCAGAAAGTTTCCAATATGCTATCTGCAGATATCATATTTTCTTCCAACATATGAATATAGAACAGTGATCTATAAGCTACCAGTTGAAAAAAAAATGGTTATCACCACTTTTTTTAAATTTGGGTGTAGAGCTTAGACTTTAGAGTCCATTTTACAGAGTAAGATTTTAAGTGATGAAGCATTGGCCTTGCCATAGAAATAAAAGGTAACATGCACTCTGGTATGACAAATTATGCTCTCTTGTATAACATACTCTGGGGAATATTGCCCACTCTGATTTAGTATAACTAATGACATCTAATCCCAGACAAACTCCCCAGGTGTGTTGATTTTCTGGAAGCCGAATTAATCTCCTAGACCCATGGAAACCTGGCCAATCTCATGATAGACTGGTTATGATGTATGATGTCAGACAACAAAAAATGAGATAAATTTATAACATTTAGGGCTCAAAATACTCCCTGCATATGCAGGTTAACAATTCTAAGCATTGCACATATATTTATAAACCATGATATGATCAACCTTAAGGCTTTATGAATTTTGCAGGAGAAAGTTTGGAGTTACATGATGTTCTGAAGACGACCACCGTACCATGTTAGACACAGAGAAGGAACAAGTTCGCTCGGCAAAGGGAAAACTTGGACATCCCACCATGCGGCCGGTTCCTCTTATATCCTCAGTACAGAGGATCGTCTTGTACGAAACTAAAGCGGTAAGTACAAACATCTTTTGTTACTCCGTGAAGGAGGTCAGGACCTCCGGACGGAGTGTTGTGATCGGCTGATTTTTCGTGTTCGCAGTCAAAACACTGGGTTCTCTTTGTGTAATCGGCACGCAATTTTATACGCCGTCTGCGGGCATGCCCGTGTTGATGCACGAATGTGTATTTTTGCCGTTGCTGCTTTCGCGGTCAATGTAATATTGCAGACGCACCCCTACAATTACGAGGCGAATTGGAATGGTCCAGAAAAACGCGTTGTTTGGAATAGCAGTGGGGGGGGTGGAACTTCATGCAGATACGGGGTGGTTTTGATAAGTGGTTCCAGATGTTTTTGCCCATGGTTAAGAGATGCCAAGTTTTTTGGAAGATGTTCGCAGCCAAAACGCATTCTTCCGTACGTCGCATTTTTGTGTAATTTCGCATGTGGTGTGGCATTATGTCCGGGATGATGCACGTCTTTTTATTTTTACCGTAGCTGTTTTGATATTGGAGTAAATGGTTATTTTCGAAACATCCCCATGTCGTTGAAATGTTGTCGTCCGTTTATGTCACCGGTAGTAAGTCGCGGCGGGGCTGATGGGGACGACGGAAATGTGGGGTGGTCAGAGGTCAACATTAGGAAATGTTAATACCGATAACGTAATCCTATCGATTTCAAACTGGTCGGGTGTGGCGATCGCGACCTAGTGGCGGCGTGTATTTAGTCACGTAGCAACTGGCCGGTCGTCCTAGCCAATGGCCAATATTTTTGGGTTGGGCCGCTCCATAGTGTTAGTGGAGCAGCTCTTTGTAAACATGGACAATATTTTTGAGCAACCCATCAATGTGTTCTGCCTCGTGGTCGGATGTGGTCTGGGGCTGGTAAACCGCACATACAGTACTAGTAGATCGGGTAATTTTATGATTTGCTAGTTGTAAAGGCGTCGTGTAGTATGAGCCGGTATATGAAGAAGTAGCCTGTGTTACACAATCATGCTTTCGGCCGGATTGATGTGCAACTGTTACTAATTGCAGGGACTGCGCTAATGCCGACCAGTCGCGCCGTCCTGATACACCGCGAATGTGCGAGTGTTCCCTGTAGACAGTCCCGGGAGTCATTTTGTTCGCACATTCCAGGAGCCAAACCAAAATACGTTCATGAACCGAGTCCAAAAAACCGAAACGTGAAAATCGGATGATCGGACCTGATGTACATTTCTCTTTCTGTAGATTGTACACACAATACACACATCTTTAGATAATCTGGCCATGGCAGGTAAAAAAAGTAACCCTGAATCATACTAGATTAGCGTAAATGCATGTTTATGCGTTCAAAACAAGAAAAGAATTTGTTTCCCGGTATTAATCTCTTGAAACACGGCGCTGAATATTGACGCAAAAATATTTCGGGCATCGCGCGCCCTTCCCCGTTGTTTAGACTGTATGAAAATCCCGCGTCACGTGTCGGCATTTCGCATCTCTGATTGGTTGTTGCGACTTAAGATGACTGAGCCGACGCGCGTTTAAACAATTTTTCTTTGTTCGATTTATCACACTTCACAGAGAATTGTCGCCAATGGCTACTTCTTTTTGTTGCAATATATAATACTTCACGGAGAATTGTCGCCTATGGCTTCTTGTTTTTGTTGTAGGTAATAAACTGTCGTAATTCCACCAGGTATCCTAAGACTGCCACATTGAAAAGTAATTTTCAAGAGATCTACTAGAGTGCAGCATACACTGTGCAGTATACATTATTGAAAAGGCCTTGATAACATGTGTCAGTCTTGGGAGTACCCATTGGAAAAATGAGTGTTTTTAACTTGTAAGTACTTATCATTAACCTCCTTCTTGTTGCCATATTTGTTGATATGTACAGATTATATTAGGTGCTAAATGACTACCTCTGTCAGTGAAAAGGTTAAGAAACGAAATTTTATGGTTATCATACTGTGTACCACCATTGTTTGTTTTTTTGGCCATTTTTTAGGTCAAATTTTCAAAAGCTCCGCACTGCGCAATGGGGCGTATCCCCCTTCCGCAATATCCTGTTCTCGGTCGCTTAGCTCCCCTGCCATGGCCACGCGGCCAGTACCACTACACTCAAATTGAATCCTTCCTACAACCCTGACCACACACACACCCCAAACACGTGCACACTCCATTTGCTAAACTAGCCAGTTGACTTTTGTCACAATTACACCACCCAATTTCACTGAGTACACTGTACATGTATATGCAAAATGTAGATATATTTATTACTGGTGTAAAAGACTTTTAATTGCAATGTAGCAATTAGTAATGAATCATGATTTTCATCCTGCATATTCATGTCATAAGTACTATTGCCTGCCTGTCCTTCCTACACCTACATGTACACACGTCAGTGTTCGAAATACCTGTCTGCAGTCTGCAATCTGCAGATAGGTTTTCAAGATTGCAGAAGAAAAATTCATACAATCTGCAATTTTGCAGAAGGAAAAATAGGCTCCAGATTCAATAGTTTTCAATTTAGCAAACTAGAACTCTCTGGCCTTCTTCATTAATTTGCATCATCCTTGTCTTGACTTGTCTATCTTTTGTTTCCCTTTGGACTTACAAAAAATTGTCTTCACTAATTTGCATATGAATCAATAGTTTGTGCTTATAAACCTGCAATTCTCTTAGTGTCACTGACAAAAGGTAGTAGTCTGACCGTTTCAGGTAGCACCAAAATCATATCGAGTTGCTTAAAAGTTAAGTTTTTTTTTTTTGTCTTTTATTAGTATGTTGTGTGGAAGGATGATATGTGGGTGTGATTACTAGTACATTTACAGGTAAGGTATGACTTTATAGTTGTAGTAGCTTGTAGTAGGAGACAGCGGTGAAAGACCCATGGAGATACCAGTAAATGATAAATTTTCTATGGAGAAGGATCTATAAAGTCTGAAATTAAAAGAGTGATAGATTAAAAATAAAAGAATTCCATTAATGCTACAGATCTACAAAGCTATATATGATGTAAAAAAGACATTAATGGTTTGAGAAGGTTGTAGTATGGAGGCTTGTGTATTTGCAGAAAGCATTTTCAGATTGCAGAACAAAATTTTGACTCTTCTGCAATATTGCAGACCACTGGAAAAAAAGTATTTCGACCACTGCACGTGTACTTTCACGTGTCTGAGCAAAATGACATGAATAGAAAAATCAAATGCATTTTAGTCAAATCCAGGTTGATGGTTTGAAGATAATCTTTATTCACAAGTCTATAGAGCTGAGAAGTTAAATATTGAAGCCTCTATCTCTACATGTATGTATGTATTATGTACAGGAAGAAATATTAAGATTTTCTCATCATTCATGGTTCTTAAATACACATTATTGCAAGCAAACAGTTGAAGTCTTTTGAGTGCATTCTTGTGTTACTTTAACTTATATATAACATATATAATGTACATCTTTTGATACTTTATATAAGGACAGTACTTGTTGCACTTCTGTTTTGTTACTATTCTTGGATTAAAAGTTGGCTGGTCTGATTTTCATCTCAACAAACTTGAGGGAGTAATAGTCTGTATTTCTCCAGTCCTCGTGATTCCAGACTATTCCGTCCGGAATACTGGAGCCAGAATTTCCGTACTCCCCACCACGGTAGTACTTGCCATTTAGGTTGGCGTAGAAGCAGGAGTTATACCACCACCCACCCTTGGACAAAATGGCGCAGGTATTTCCCGGTGCCGGTACGCTGAACGCCTGGTAGTTGTGATACCACGAGAAGGCGTCGCCCGCCGTTCCGGAGTAACCGTTCACAAGAAGGCGGAAGTTGTCGTTCTCGCTGTTGACGCGAAACTGTCCGTATTCCGCGTAGCGCCTTTCGCCCTCCCAATCCTCCATATCGATTCTCAGTTTGTACGCTCCCTGATTGGTTAGTAGGTGGATGATGGCATTGCCGAGCCAATGCTCGGTGTCGACTTCGCCAAACCCGACTTTGTATTCGTTGGCCGTGCGCTGAAAGTCAGTGGAACCGTTGACGCGGCGTTGGATCACAGTCCAGCCGCCGCCAGAGGTGTTCATATCGCAGTAGACGGGGACAGCTTGTGGGGAGGTTTGCGGAGTTACGCTGTACACCGTGCTCGTGTTGTGACCCAAACGGTACAGACTCGCGCAGTCCCGAGGAACCTCAGGGCCTGAAATAACAATAGACACAGATTCTTCTATTAGAAGTCATTCAACAGCAATAGATTCTGTACCACTATTATTTTCAAGTGCTCTCTATACAAACTGTGGTTTTCTACAAATCTTACTTATTTTTCTCACAAACATTGACCATACTCAGCTTCACAAAGTGCAGTTTGCTTTATTTCTGCAAGGGGGCACTATTGCTCAGTTGTCAATCCAGAACCAGATGTATGGCTCTACCTCATGTTTAACATGATGGATTTCTTGATCTTGTCAAAGGGTAAAACATGCACATAACTTGTATGTGACACAGGAATGAGGAAAAATCCCCAAATCCGTACCATTACAGAGTTAATGGCAGCAGATGGTCTACATTCAATCTTCTGTCTATCTGTCCTACACATGTATGACCTGTCATAGCATAATGGACTATTGGGACCTATCGGATTACAAGTAACAGATCATCTTGAATCATGTGTCAATCAAAGTCCTATATAAAACCATAATTTTTTACTCTAAGGACGATACAATCATTTTTCTTCTGTAAATAATTGTAGGATTATAGTAGATTACTGTAAACTGTATTACTGTACGAATTCAAATACGAATTCAAGATCTTGTGTGTATATGGAAAGGAATATGCTAGTACGCAGTGATAAGTGGATGTACGGTAACCAATCAACAGGTATATCCTGGCACCTGACTCCATTTCCCCTGCCAAATCATGCCCACTTACAGGCAGCCCCTTTAAATAATTCAGATGTACATCAATTTGTTATGCCACTGGCAAGGCTTGTTTTAAGTAGGCCTGGGTTCTTTCCAATATCTCACTCAGGCAGTCTTGGAACCTTGTCAAAATGTAGAGGCCAAGATTTAGTGCCTGATTTAGTGCAAAGATTTGGTACAGAGAAAAGAAAAGGTAAGGATATTCAAGTCAATAACTTGAAGTACATGCAAACAGTGAAATCAGCCTAATATATTATGTAGCATCAAAATCATAGAAGATGCAATTTTAGTGACATTATCACTTGACATATGTACTTTTAGAGTCTTCTTGGGCTCTGAGTAAAGTCTTGAGTCTTTCTTGTTGAGTTAAAACTACACAATAGCAGTCAGTAGGCTAAGAAGTAAGATGAATCAGAGTTTTTACTCACCAGTGTCAGTAACTTTGTTTGGTGCATCGTTGACCACGCTGTGGTTCTGCATACTGTTGATGACCTCCATGACCTGGTGCAGTTTACTCTGCAGCTGTGCGATGGTGTCCGTGTGCGTCTCCAACAACAGGTTCAAGTCCTTGTTCACGTTCTCCAAGTCCGTGACTCTGTTCTGTAGCATCTTTGCCTGTTCCTCCTGCGCTGTAACATTGTTCATCAGGTTGGTGAACTCGGTGCACTGTAAGGGGTTGGGACATTTTCCGTCGGCGTCCTGCGGGATGACGGCCGTGAAACGACAGTTCCCGTCCCCGAGACGTTCGTTGGTGTACTGCCCGCAGCGCCGTTCTTGGTTGAGCGTGGACTGTCCGCCGGCGCCGAGGACCAGGAGTAGCAGACTGAGAAAGGGTGAAGCCAACCACATGGTGGATTGTTTGTTGTCACTGAGCGCACGCCTGGTGGACCTAAACCCTGAAATAACAGACAGGATTCAGCAGGGCACGACATGCAGGCACAAAGTCAAGAAATTAACTTTTGTAGTGTCTGTGTATTCACTCCAACAGATACACATTATCATAGTTGAAGAACTTTTTTCCTTAAAAAACTAATATTAATCTTTTGAAATAAAGCTTTGTACTCCACATTCAGCCTTTTGATAGAAGGCAAGCTTGGGATTAATAAAAGAAAGCTGATACTCAAAAGAAGGCGTAGAATACTAGAAAGAAGGGAATTTCTTCAGAAGAATTGCAATACACATCTAGAGCCTAAGCTTACCTTTGTGCTGTATGGTATCTGTATATCTGAACTGACCTGGCGTAATCTATGCTATGCAACTTAAAGTATATATAATGGCCTTGGAAATCACAGCTGGCAACAGTCAGCCCACAACCTACGCAGCATAAAAATAGCAGCTCACCCTAATAGTACATTCTTTGCACAATTTCCTTACCTCTTGCCAAGCACCTTGTACTGTCTTACACCAACAGGAAGTAACAGACAAAGTCTGGAGGCCTTCCCTTGTTATACACACTTAGCTAATTATCCTCCTGGGTGGGAAAAGGTGGACAGAACCGCCAGAATCAGGTGCCTTTGTTCTCCACCAATCAGGTGCCAGGGGATTAATTAGATTATGCAAAGGTGGGTATGGCATGCCCATATTTGGTAAAGGGGATGTCACGCTTTTCCCTAGAGTTGTAATTGATTTACATCTGGAGGTATGCATTAGGGTGATGTCATGACATTACCAGCTAGTGTTACGGCCTCACTAATAAATCTGATTATGAAAGATTAGGAAGTCTGTCAGACCAATTTGTTGCCAACTAAAGTCAAGACAATTTGATGTGCAAGAACCAAGGAAATATATAAAACTGTGTCTTTAATTGGCGAATCCTTACAGGAGACATGACGTATGCCCTGAGAGTGTTCACATTTTTTACCATGGTCTGAGATCAAGGGCAGGTGGTCCTTCCAGTTTAACAGTAGCAACACTGAGTTTTGTTTTATCAACAACGGAAAGTCAACAGCTGATACAGACTACAAATTCCAGAATACTGACAACCATGCCAACTCAGTGTCCGCCCTTTCTCACGAAATGGTCGCCAAATAGAGAAACCATTCCTTTTTGAAACTATTTTTTTTAGAATTATTAAATCATCTCAAAAAGCTGTTGCAATATTGGAAAATCTAATGGTCAATGTTCAAGATACTGAAATATCTTGTACTAAAAAGTGTAAAATCTCTCAACATATTACTACTATGCATCTCTACCACCACTATTGCTTGCGACACCTTTTGTGCATCGGAATCAGTTTTTCCGAGAGCACAAAGGGCACACCTTGCCTAGGGGGAGGGAAATACCTAAAGCAGGGACCAGGATGCTTCATTCAGCCATATAGCCACCGTGGATGCCATCATCACCCCCTGGATTTACTGATAAAATCATGCAGAGAAAAACACGCAGACACCTATTTCCTCAATCTGTCAATCATGATGCTGCCTGGCAAAATAGCTAACCTGTCTGGCATGGCATCTTCTATTTTTAGGCTGCATTAGTTTGATTTTTGGTTCTTAGATTTCTGTAGGAAATCAATAAAACAGGTGGGCAATATAATGAGGCATCCTGTAATAGCCCCAAATAGAAGTCGCAAAGTCAGCATACTAGTCTCATTTCTGATTCAAATTTCAAACAATGAAGTTTATAAACTTCTAATCAAAAGTGTAACAACTACAAAGGTAGGGAGACAAGGACTTTCTTCAACTTAACAGTGCCAACAAATGAGCATTTTCAGATTTGAACCTCCTAGTCCTAGTTGGGCACATGTACGTTTTGTTTTTTCCAAATAAGAAAACAGTGAATCTGTCAAATTGAGCTGACAACCAAGAAATAAATTGGTGTGGCGACTCCTCTCAGACATAACTCACTCAGCCCTGGTCAGTACGTGTACATGCATCCAATTTGTCTGTTACTAACCCATAATATGTAAGATGTTTACAATACACATCCCGGCTGTTGACAGGCCCTGGAGCAAACTTGAAGGAGTCTTGGTGACAGGATGTGCTTCACAAAGACATCCAAACTTCTCTGTAGCTTAAAGAATTTAAAGAACTTAACTTGACAATCGTACACAAATGTACAATGACAACAGTTAATGCAAGACTTAAAATCTATGCTATATTTAGATTACAAAATAATGATGTATGTCAGTCTATATATTTTAAGACGGTGATGGTCTGGTTTAATAGGCAAAAGCTTTTGGAATAAAGTACAAAGAGCAGTCTTACATTTTGTAAGGATTTTTTGACAGCGTAAATCTTGTACTGTCATATAACATAATTTTGGTGTGATTACAATAATGGACAATATCGAAACATACTAGATATATGTCAGCCCAAAACTAACTGACTTTGACAAAACCCCACAAATGTAACAAAATTTAGGCGAAAGAATAATTCTTCTACTTACAGAAGAACAAATAAAAAGAGGCCAAAATCGTTGGATTGATTTGTAAATTACATTGTCTCTCCAGATAATTATGCTGTCTTTAGCAATACCGTAGCTACTGTTCTTTTGTAACCCCTATTGTGTGTTATCCTTTCTGGGAGGTATCTCCTGCAAATTATCAATTTTCTCCATTCCTTTAATTGAGTGGTGTTTGTCTACACCATTCTCTTTTCTCAGCATGTGACCATCCAAAGACAATCCCTCTCTTCCTCTTCTGAAGAAGACTACAAGAACACAGACAATGCGGCTTGTTTGAGACGTAGGGTTGGGTCTTTTGTTTGCAGGTTTTTGTGGTTGCACGCTGGGGTGGGGGACCCTTGGCTCTGTTTGTTTTGATGAGGACACAACGGGAAATTAGACACAATAGACCTCGTTGACAAGCGTCTGGCAGGGGGTGATCTATTGTTTTTGTTTACGGTGGCTAATTAAGAGTAATTATGGCATGAAGTCAGCTTCCTGCACAGCGTAAGGTGTCTACAGCACGGGAAAAGGATAGGAAATGATAGTCAGTTACTGTAAGAACTGATAGTTTTTGCAGTGATTTCTGTTAATAATGTGTTAATGTTTTAATTTTTGTATTTTATGATGATTTTGGCAACTCCATGACCGAGCTTGGACAAAATTGTGAACAAAATTTTAGCAAATTTGATCAAGAGTCTTCTACTTCTAGCATCCATTTTGCAACTTCTCTTTGTATAGATTAATTTACTTAATTTGAAAATGATGTACAGTGGAGGTTTAAACAAAAGTCCCCCATATTTTTGAAAGTTGGTAATTTAATATTGTTTGGATGGAAATAAAATGATGAAAAATGTTATATTGCAATTGACTAAAAGGTCTATGTATATCTGGAATTGGAATCTTTTAGACTTTAAAGATGCATATTGACTGTCACATTATTGTAGAAATGTTGATTTGCATGTATGAGAATTGTTTGTTGTCTGTCCATTTAAAGTCTACATTTGCTAAAAGTTGTGAATATTACCGATTCGGAATAGATGTTCTTTTATTCAGTGTCTATGGTGATAACAGGCAGGGTAGTGCTAGTTCAACCAACAACCAAGACCTGTTAGATAGCCACTAAAATTGTCCTTTGCTAAAAGAAGCTAGTGGTTCACTATGTAAGTCGTGTTTGTGGCTAAATAACTTTTGAGTTTACACGAAAATGTCTGCGTAAACACTTTGCCCGCTGTTTTAGATGTAGTAAGCATCTTTACCTGTGTACATGACAGTGTTTCCTCTACCATAACCTGGCCCTCTCCTATTCCAAGAAAGCTCAGTGCCACACCTGGAAAGTGACAATGGGTAATTCCCTCAGGCCACTCCAAAGTAATGTCTTGGTTCTCACTGCGTCATTTTTTCTGATTTGAAAAAAAAAGTAAAAAGATCGCTTTTGTATTTTTTTGTATATTCACATTTGGGAAATTAATCAACTTAAACAAAAGCTCATTTTTTAGCTCTTACAGATTATGATTAAGTAGAAGAAACTATAGAATAATTCTGTAAAACCTTTTGATTATACATACAACTTACACTATTATTAACACGTCCATGATGACTATTACCTAGGGCAAAAATCCAGACAAAAGAGTGCGTCCATGTTGTACCAACTTTCAAATCGCGTTGCGTACAAACTATGCGGAAAGCAGAAATACCGTTTTCGTTCTTTCGCAAAGCCCGAGTCAGAACGTGCCGGCAAGCAAGTTTGTAGTAAGTCCAAGTGTTGACAATGGCGGAGTCAGATATGATCTGTGCGTGTGTCTGGGATGGGTCGAGCGGACAATAGAACATCTTCAGACTGAAACTGAGCGCGTCTGGCAGGCGTGTCGCTAGCCTTTGTGCACGGACGCCGCCGAAAAAGCTTCAAACCCGACTTACGAGAATTATACGTTCAAATTCTAACATTTTCTGTTGGCAACATACATGAGTAAGTTTAAGGCTCTTTAAGTAAAAGACAAATTACCCTAAACAGCATGCCTTGATGGTTAGGTTGTAGAGGCTGTAGAAATAGATTGCTTTTTGTCCGTCCGAGACCCGCTGTTCACTTGCCCATTCCAGACTAGCCGATCGTATCTAGCTCAGTCTTAGGTTGGGTAGTCGCGGATTCCGAAGAGATATACCATGAAGGCGCTCAGATACTCGGAAATTCTGACTACTAGTAGTACTGCCACATACTGGTATAAATGATTGTAGCAACTTTTAATAGTGCCTGCACATTACAGTCAGAACTATGGACTTTTCTCAACTCAAAGGTGCCGCTCAGTTTTGCAAGGTCCATATACACAACATAACAGTGACTGTGTCACAATATTATATGATTATGTATAAACAGAATATGTATTCTACTAATCATATTGCTTAAAATATGTTCTCTCATTACTAATATTTTGGGTTGCTGGTGTGAAGCAGTGTTATACTTACTTCTTGGCTTAATTAGCCTAGTAGTCTTTGAACTGGAAGGAATAATAAGTGAATTTACAGTAATGCGGGCTTGCCCGTTTGCCGCCCCCCTCAGACCGGACTTCATGTCGTTACTGTTGTCACAACAGCTCAGCAGACTTCCTGGACCCCCCACAGAAATACTTTCTATTTTTCCACCCCCCCCCCCAAAAAAAAAAATTACTGTAATTTCATTTATTTTCACTGGGACTTATAGTGACTTAGCAGAGGAAAGGAGGTTTTCACTGTTTGATATGTGAGAGCCACACCCCACACACGTTATCTAAAAGAGTAGGGGACCTTCCTAGTGTGAGTGGTTCAAACCTTACAGTCCGGTCTTTCGCAGCTTGCACTTACATGTACAAAACTGGTATGTTACGCCTAAAGCCAGTTTACTGGTTACACGAAACAAACAAACAAACAAACAAAACCAGTATTTGTGGTGTCATGAATTCACAGGGAGAGGACACCACAAAAACTGCCAAAGTAAAAACACCGCGAATATTTCAACATTTTACAGTAGCTGAGCATATTGAGGAAGAGGTGAGAGGATGTGCAGTATTGGTGGGCTGTAGGGCCAGTGATTTCCCTGATAAGTGACAGGAGATGGGGGATGTTGTGTCTTTACTGTAAACAGTTAGAACTGGCGACTCCGGCCAGACAACCCAGGGAGATATGATAAAAAAGATGGCACAGATATGGCATTGTTAGACGCTTATGTGTAGCTGACATACCAAGCTTGTCTTCTCTAATTATGCATTATCATGCAGTTGTGCCTTTAATCTATACAAAGGCTGCAAGATTCTGAGAACCTGAATTTGAAGGCTGTCTTATTAGTACATGTATTGTTATGAAATCATTTAATTCAAACCATGACAAGGTTTTAGTGCTGTAACCATTTTAGAATTTGTTACACTCAAAATTTCTCACTTCCTAGTTATGGCAGATACTGTATTAGCATTGTACCATGTTAAGGAGATTTGAGACAAATGCAAAATGAATGTGAAGAAAAGTTGTTTCTAAATGACCTTCAAAATGAGTCACTGCTAAATGAAAGACAAACATGTATGTCAGAGAAAATGAACATGGTACATGTATGGCATTCAGTATACTGAGTACTATGTAAAATCGATCTTCTGAATTGTTAAATTGCAGCGATTCTTCCTGGTTGGGTCCAACAACAGAGAGACTAAGTTCAGAGTTCTTAAGATTGACAGGACGGAGCCCAAGGAGCTAGTCATTATTGATGATAAGGTATGTTATATGTTACATGTCATTTGGTCATTATAACCTACCTTTTATTAAGTTGATCAAATAAAGACACTGACATTTACGTATTATCTATTATGACATTGTATAGTCATGTATTGTTTGCAAAGTGAGACATATACATGTACATTGTACATTTGGTAGCAAATGTCATTGATACTGTAACTAAGTTGACCTCAATACAACATTACCGTAAGTGCCCAGGTGTGGTCATAAAGACTATAGTTTTTATCTGCCTTCAATGGGGTGTAGGTCTGTCCTTTTATTTTTCCTCAAGCTTCATTAGTATCAGAATGTGTCATACATGGTTGCAGACATTTTAAGACTTCTAATCTTGTTTGAAGTAATACCCTCCTATCCTATGATACAAACTGTACATGTACCAGTAGTGCCAATTGTAACCTTGTTTTAAAAGACACATCTGTCTTCTTTCCAGGTTGAGTACACCCAGCGTGAGGTTCGGGAGCTGTTGTCTATGTTAGATGTGGGGAACAGAGCCACACGTCCAGCTCAGAAGGGCGGGGCAGGACTGACCAGAACGGTGTCTGCATTCGGCATCGTTGGTGAGTAGAATAATACAACAGTTACTGTAGTGTAACATTACTTATCTTTTTCCCAATTGGCTAGTTCAGTAAATGTCAGCCATAATGCACAGTAAGGAATTGAACTTAAAAGATAGAATTTGGCCCATATTTAGTTTGAAATTGTTTACATTTTCCATTGGGCTAAGTTTTTTGTCTACTTCCTTTTTGGATATTGGTGAATAATCAGATATCAATATATCTGAATGTCTTTTGTTATGATATTGTTATACCATTGCACCAGAACTAATTATACAATGATCATGTTATTTCGTCACCTAATTTTACAGGTTTTGTCCGATTCCTGGAGGGTTATTACATAGTGTTAATCACCAAGAGAAGACGGTAAGTAATTACTATTTTTTTTCTTCAATCATCAATCAATAAAATTTTATATTTTGCTTTTTAACAGTTGTACAAGCATATGATGGTCAGAGTGTTTGATGAAAACTTTCCTATAAATCTTTCAGAGTTGCTATCCTCGGTGGTCACACTATCTATAAGATAGAAGACACCAGCATGATCTACATACCCAATGACAGTGTCCGCTACGCTCACCCTGACGAGTCACGATACGTCAAGATCTTCCAAAATGTGGACCTCTCCAGCAACTTCTACTTCAGGTATCATGCAGTACTGCATTTAGTTGCTAGAGGGACCTTCTTACATGACTTTTAGCATTTCTTGCAAAGAGCATTAATTAAGCTGTTGAGTCTGTGTGTGGTGGAGTTTTGTACATTTGAGAACCCAACACATATCTTGACTTAAAAATGTCAAATCAAAATGGTGTATTTGAAAAGATCTATCAAATTATAGCATCAGTAATCCCTGATGAACACACACTTTGGATTATTCAGCCAAGTGTTTGATCAAGGACAATATGTGTATAATGTCCTTGGTTTGATACATACATACATGTACTTGAAAAGGCCTTGGAAAGACTGTTTTTCTAATGTTGGGAACCTGGCAGAATATACATGTATAATATGAGGGTTGATGTTGACTATGTTTCTTCCCCTTTTCTCTTCCACAGCTACAGCTATGACCTGACTCACACACTACAGTTTAACCTGACGGCTGCCTGTAACTTCCTACCGTTCGGACGCACCAGGAAACAGGACAAACAGATGGACTCTGGAGATGATGATGATGAGTATGATGATGATGAGGAGGAGGAGGGAGAAGAAGAGGGGACCAAGGATCACGTGTTTGAAACCAGCGAGGAAAGCGGAGACGAGAAAATAGAGGAATCTGTGCCAAACGTGGAGCTAGAAAAAGGTTTACACACTAACTGTTATCTTTTCTGTACATATCAGTTTAGTATGTATGGGAACTAAGAAAACATATTAGTGTGACCTTATCCTAAAAATACAGTCTTTTGGAATAATTGAATCATTTCTCATTGATTTTGCTTAAGGAAAAGATAAAGTTTGGGTAAACTGAAAGTTGAAATAATAAAATGTGTCAAGTTCAGTTAAGGGACACAAAACTGAGGAAATGGAATACATAAATTTTGTATTTACATGACATTATATTTTAGTATACTGTATGTCAGTGTTAGGATTAATATCTATGAATGAATATGACATTGGCATTTTTCAGGTCATATCTGTGGAGTCCAGAACTGCCCAGAGTACAAGTATGTGTGGAACAGCCACATGTTGGAGAAGTTTGAGGACAGAGTCCACCCGGACTGGAGAATGTCCATCATACACGGCTTCTGTGCACAGTCAAGTATCCTTTCATACAGCCAGTATTCTGCAGTATTTACTTTACTGTAAAATGGGTTGAAATCAATGTGTAATATTTTGTCAGACATACATTATATCTGGCACTACAACTAACTGTTTAAATACATGTAGATAACTAGTACCATGGTGCTAGTACACTGAAAACTTTAACAATTGTTCAGTAAAGAACGTTTTTTTAATCAATTTTTCTCTACACCTTTAAAAGGACACATTTTTAATACAGATGTGATAGTTTTGAGTTTTGTTGGAGGATTTCTAGTGTGTGACAAAACTACAGAATTTTGTACCTTGACACATAATGTCAGATGTGTGTGTGTATGGCCGTCCTATCTTCATCACACTGATTGCACGTCGGTCCATTCTGTTTGCTGGGACCAGATTTTTAAAGAGGGGAGCCAACTGTGAGGTGAGAATTTAAGATCTTCATAATGCTTAGTTCGTGGATGTTCTCTTCTTTGTTTTGCTGTTCAACGATATTCCATTTGTAAGATGTACAATTTTGCAACCTTTCAACACTTTAATGGTGTTAGAAATATCAAAGTTGAGTTGCATTTCGTTGTCCTTAAACATCACCAAGCTATGAAGGAAAAACTTACTACATGCTTTGTACTGTAGATATCGCTACTGTTTTTATCCTACCACTCTTACAACCATTATAAATCTTAGGTTATTTCCTGTGGATGCTCTTGATAACACAATATACTAGCCAAGGACTGTGTATTTTCAAGAGAAATACACATAATTATACACATTATTATACACATAATTTCATTAGTGTCTGTTATAATTGAAAGTATTTGAATGTATGTCAATCAGGGCCAGGTAGCCAATGAGGTTGAGACGGAGCAGATAGTCCATGATGCCTCGGTGCTGTCGCTGGCCAGCGGGCGCTACACAGCATACGTCCAGATGCGGGGCTCCGTGCCGCTGTACTGGTCACAGGACATCACCACCATGATGCCCAAACCTCCCATTGGCTGTGAGTAAATGAACTAACGTTAGACAGCGAGGACACCTGTCTTATGTTCCAAAAACTGCAGTGAGTCAGCATGGTAATACCAGTAACATTGAGGACACTGCTGCATGATAATTGTGACGTTTGTCTTTGTCAGAATGTACTAAATGTACAAGGAAAGTTTGTCCTAGTGTTGCTGCCACTGTTTTTCTATGTCTAGAATAGGTGACATGCCCTACAATGTGACTAAAAACCAAAACATTCTAAATCTTGTACCATTGTATTCCCTTATAACATTTTGCTTTGTGAAGATTCTGTAATAGAAATTATATCAAACATGTGTCAATTGATTTTATGCAGTGGACTTGGCTGATCCATATGCGTACATTGCTGGTCTTCACTTCAACGATATGATGAAGAGATATGGTTCACCTGTCATCATCCTGAACCTAGTGAAGGTATTAGAGCTAAAACAATATTTTGGGTGTATATAGTATTACATTGTAATATACATTGTATAATGATTCCTTGTTTTCAGAATTAGTGTTCCTCTGTTTTGAGTGCAGCAACTTGCTTATTACTAGTATGTTTTGTACAATTGCAGACGATACTGTCAATCATAATCAAGAATAGATTCTTTTTTTTATAAATGTGAAAATTTGCTCACATGCTACCATTTTGGTAGCCTATATCCAGTACCTTCCTCCAGGCTGTAATGCTACTTCTTGACACTAGGTGGTGCACCGGTGCCAATTTTGACTGAGTAGATAGAGGTAATGACAATTATAGATAGCTCAAGAACAGGCCACACAACTAAAGAATTACCTGCTGGAAAAGCACGTCAACAGAACCTGTAGTAATCACACCTGTTGTGTTTGCAGAAACGTGAGAAGAGAAAGCACGAGAGCGTCCTGACGGAAGAACTGGTCTCCGCCATCAACTACCTGAACCAGTTCCTGCCCCCGCAGCACGCCATCCAGTACATCGCCTGGGACATGGCCAGGTTCACCAAGAGGTCGAGGCCGGCATGAATTGGGACAGCCCCATGTTTTCCACATACCCTTCCTTAACCCTTTGTTTGGCTTATATACAGTAGTGTTGTAACTGCCATTGCCCCCCTCCCCCTTGCTGCATCCTCAAACTAAAAACTTCAGTGTTTGCACCCTACCAACCCCCCTCCCATCATAAGCTTTCTAATTTTTTTCTAAAATGGTGGCTTGTAACTTTTATGTTTCTGATGCAGCATTGGTTTGCATGAAGTTTTGCAATTATACAAGTGAAATGTCCCAATTCAAGCTATGGGGATCTAAAGAAAAAACTTTGTTCTAATTTTGCTTTTAAGTTTTAACAGTTGCACCATCATTGACATGTTTATCTGTTATAACAATTACTGTAACTTTGTTGGGCTTTTTCTACTTAATATGCAAATTTCAATGCATGGAATATTGTTTGAGAGAATACATGTGGCTTGAAGAGTTTATTTTGTGACTAAGGATAATTATAGAACTTAAGACTTGCTTGGATTTGATTGCCTATGCCCCCCCTTCCTCCTGACTGATTTCCTTGTTTTTCCTGAACTGTTTACAGTAAGAATGTGAACGTGATGGAGAGACTGGGTGAGATAGCAGACCGTGTGGTGATGAGGACAGGGTTCTTTAAGAGTGGTCCCCATCTGTACTGCACCAAGCTCAGGCCTGAGGAAAAGTGTAGTGAGATGCAAGGTACAGTCAGCCACTCTTACAGTCAGTTCAGTGGGAAATGTCAGAATTGAATTACAAGTACATCATTTTTGGCTGCTAACTAGATCTAGATTGGAAAAAAATGTTGCTGCTTTAACAGCTTGAATTTGGGGTTGAATTGTCATTAAGTATTGGCTCTTTTAGCTCACATGAACGTAATGGTCAAATGAAGCTGCAACTCACATTGTGTAGCAAATGAAGGCTGTCTTGCTTTGTGGGTACTCATATGCAGGTGACTTCAAACTTCTATCCCACATCCAGGTAAAGCTGACAAATCAGTTCTTCCCATCTTTGTGGGTCCCCATATTCAGGTGTAGCAGGCGAATCAAACCTGCCTGACCTTTTGTCCCCCTCCCCCCAGGTGTAGCGGAGGAATCTGGCCGTCGCCAGACCGGTGTACTGAGGACTAACTGTGTGGACTGTCTGGACCGTACCAACACAGCTCAGTTTGTGACAGGGAAGGTGGCCCTGGCTTTCCAACTGTACTCACTTGGGGTGCTGGAGGATCCAAAATTAGAATTTGACACTGATGCAATAAGGTAATATTTGACAATAGCGTACATGTATTTTTAGAACTGTTACAGTAAAGAGGAAAAATCATATCAAAGCAAGCCATTTTGATATGGATATCACTGTATGAGCTTTATTGTTTAGACCTTTTTTTTACTAATAATCAGATTGACTATCCATACAAAAACAAATTTGGCATAAAATATGTTGCATATTACATGTACATAATTGGCATGTACATAAAGGCATATGTCACATAATGATCTATAATTTCTGCTGTCTTCAGAGTGTTTGAGGAGTTGTATGAGGACATGGGTGACACCCTGGCCCTACAGTACGGTGGTTCCCAGCTGGTCCACAGTATCCAGTCTTACCGGAAACTGTCTCCCTGGACCTCCCATTCACGGGACATCATGCAGACTCTGTCCAGATACTACAGCAATGCCTTCTCAGGTGATTCTGCACTTATTTTTAACCTTCTCCCAAGTAAGGTAGCCTTTTAGCATCTTAATTTCTTCCTGGGATCTCCTACTCAAGACTCTCCTTAGATACTACTGTACCAGCAATGTTTTCTCAGGGTAGACCTTCAGCACTTATTTTTAACCTTCTCCCAACTATGGTAGACTTTTAGGACCTTAATTTCTTCCTTGGGATCTCCTACTAAAGACTGATAGTACCTTTCCCAAGTACACAGCATTGGGGCCTGCAAGGGATTCAAACCCAGAACCTTTAGATTTTAAGTCAACAACCATAACCAAAACCAGTTTTCCTTTTACACACATAGATGCTGAGAAGCAGAGTGCGATTAACCTGTTCCTGGGAGTGTTCCTGCCCCATGAAGGGCGTGCTAACCTGTGGGACCTGCCGACTGACTACTACCTGCACCACACCCACTCCCGGGGGGACTTCCCCAGGATCAGGAGGAGGTAACCTCAATAATACTCCACCCCTGAGGTGTCGCCAAAAAATTGAAATGATGATGGTGAAAAATTGACAAGGAAATTCTTTGGGGGAGGTTTGTTGTTTTTCTTTGTTTTGTAAGAAAGGATCAGGAGGAGGTACTGTAATAACTTCAAGGAGGAGGCACTGTTACAGTAATAACTTAAGAATAATACTCTGCCCATGAGGTGTCGCCAAAAATTAAGAAGAATTTTTTAAAATTCATTATTGCATGGTGTTTTGTCATAGTTGAAGGAAAGGATAGTTACTTTATCAGTGAGCTGATTTATACGAAAATACATGTAGTTTAACATTTTTATTTAAATTTATTGTTTCCACAGTTACACACAGTGGTGGGAGATTCCAGTCCTTCGAGCACTACCCTTACCACAGGATGAAGGTAGGATAGTCCAAGTCATGTGTAATTTAGTATTGTAAAGGATCTGTGTTCATTGAAAAAGTATGCCTCCTTTATTGTTATGATATCATATTTGCTATCATGATGTTCATAGGGCCACTGTATTCAACATCAAGATTGTCCAAAATGCCGGTATCCTTTCCATTCATGTCAGACTCTATACTCCTGTCATATACAATGTATATCTAGAAGGAACAAGGAACCATTTTTCTATGCATAGAACCATTTTTCTATGCCAAAGTTGACCAACTCATGAAGCAATACTGTAGCTTTTATAGTATTTAGTACCATGACTTAAATATTCCTTCGTAAAGATCAGTACTGCATTGTCTCGATGTTCTCCCCCAGTGTGCAGAGACCACAGGGACGGGCAGGTTGTCCACTGGGGAAGTAGAGATGACGAGAGGCTGGATGAGTTCTCGGAGTACTACCGACCCTTCCAGCTGACGGTGTTCGAGGACCTGTTTGTCAGTAACATGCCACATTCCATCAAGTAAGCAACAAGGGACCTTTCCTTCAGCAGTGAGGAAAATTGATTTGGAAGGAATTTTTCAGCTACAGAATTTGACAAAAATACAGTAGTTTCATTTTGATGCAAACTTCCTTATATGTACTTTTTATGGCATTGTGTACCAGCCTTTGAAGAAAAACCATAGATACAATTTTTGGGGACTTCATGTACATTTAATTCTCATTGTAGTTACTACATGTAAATTGCCTTTTCTCTTTGACAGGGACTTCATGCCAAATCCAAGTGACCCCAAGTCGGACCCGTGCCCCTTTGCTGTCAGAAAAACAACCGGCAAGTTTGGGTGAGTTCTTTTGTGTCTATTAATTCCCTTTGCCTAAAAACTACTTTATATCTTTTTTACAATAAAACCAGGTCTCCAGATAATTCATGTGACTGCTCGTTAATTCATTTATTTGTTGCGTAATTTAGCCTGGTTACCAAACCTATTATAGCTCCCGAGTCTC